CATTTCTTACTTCCACAAAGCTCCTCCATTTTGCCCCTCTCTTCCACTCCTCTGCCTCCACCCTTTCTCTATCCCTGCAGAGCTGCACTCGCTGTCATCAAACTCCTACCCCTTGATTCTCAAAATGAGAGAGTGGAAGAAAAAATGAGAAAGGGAAGGAAGGAAGGGAGGGAGGGAAGGAAAGAAATGAAGGGAGGGAGGGGAAAGAAAGAGAAAGAAAGAAACTCCTACCCCTGCAGGCACAGCGATATGCACCTTTAGCCCCAGCTACTCGAGAGGCTGAGGCAGGAGGATTGCTTGAGACCAGGAGTTCTGGGCTGCAGTGTGCTGTGCTGTCCAGGTATCTACACCAAGTTCAGCATCTATATGGTGACCTCCCAGGAGTGGGGGGATCCCCAGGTTGCCTAAGAAGGTGTGAACTGGGCCAGGTCAGAAAGAGAGCAGCTAAAAACTCCCAAACTGATTGATCAGTAGTGGGATCGTGCCTGTGAATAGCCACTGCACTCCTGCCTAGGCAACAGAGACCCTGTCTCTAATATATAGAAAAAGCAGAAACTCCTACCCCTAACTAGCCCCATTGGTAAGCCTCTACTCTCCTGCTGTTGGAGAGGTTTGCTTTTGCTACTATGATTGGCTCCCTTGGCACCATCCACACTGAAGCAGGGCAGCTCAGGTCAGTCCAGGGGACCCTGCGCCAGGGGTACAGCTCTGTGTCTTGGCAGGGCCACTGGGGAGGAGGGATGACCCAGGCATCTCAAAGCTCATAGCCCAGAGGTGACAGAAAAAGCCTTGGAAGGAGGGGGAAGAGGGATGAGAAAGAGTCAGGTGATAAAGGAGGCCCCAGAAGCTAGACAGAGAGAACTGAGTGCCACCAAGCCTGGGATTTGGAGTCTAGCGGGGAAAAAGGCCATGGCTTATGGGAGAATCAGGCTGCTCAGAATGAGGCCATAATACAGAGGGGCCCCAGCAGACAGACGGCTCATGCTTGCTTTGCAGTATTGGTCCCGTGGTGGTGTTGGTGGCTTTCAAAGCAGGGGCCTGCCTGCTGAGCCATGGCTGCTCTTTGGAGCATAGTCCAGACAGGCAGCAGCAGCAGGTGGGGGCCACAGTGGGCCCAGACACATTGGGGTTGCTGCAGCTTGTCACTTGGGTGCCTCTCCACCTTTGAACCAGAGATAATAGACTTTTATTGGCCCAGGCCCAATATTCTTGAGCTCACTCTCAAGTGCCAGAGTTTTTTGCCCTTCTCTAGACTTTCCTGCTCTTTATGAGTTTATCCTGCTTCAGCAGAAACTCAAACCACTTCCTGCTGTGGGGTCTGGTAGCCAGCCCAGCATGCAGTGCACGTAGGGACAGACGATAGGACTTACTGTGCTGTTTCTGCCTCGAGGCCTCCTCCCTGGACTGAGCCAAAGGCTATGCCTTGAACTCACTGCCCTTGAAGCAGGAGTGGCAGGGAACAAAACTCTCGAACACCAAACTGAAGAAGGAAGTGGCTTTTTATTCAGCAGGGAGCTGCAGGGTGCTACAACCTCATTCACCAAGCTCCCTAAGCTGCAGCTTCTCTCCCCTTTTATAGGCTTACAATGCTGAAGGGGAAACTGAGGCAGAACTATGTAATTGCCCATTTGCTGGACATCCAACCTTACATCTTTTGGCTTCATTGATTTGCTAATTCATAGGCAGCGTGAGTGGGGACCAGAAGGGGAGGGGGCTTAGAGACAAGACAAGAGTAACAAACTGTTTGTTGGCAGAGGTGTATAAGGACGGAGCCTGGTCCGTGGAGACGTGGGGGCATGAACCAGTGCCAGGCTCCAGCCGGCAGAGATAGCATTCACTTGCAGCTCTTTCAAGGTTAACAGCGAGATGCTGGGAACTAAAAAGGGAGTCATTTTCCCAGCTCTTTGGTATTTTAATTCATTTTATTTCCTTCTTCACCCTCCTTCTCATCTGGAAGGGGGGAGGGAGGTGAAATTCAAAGGAGATGGGGGGGGTCCTCCCCTCTCACCCTCATCAACCCCTGGGCATCCTACTCAGTCACCTTGCCAATCTCCCATGAGGTACCTTCTTGCTCATCTGTGATGGAAAAAGTCTCCATTTCTTTTTTTTTTTTTCTTACAGAGGAGTCTCACTCTGTCTCCCAGGCTGGAGTGCAGTGGCACAACCTCCGCCTCCCAAGAGATTCTCCTGTGTCAGCCTCCCAAGTAGTTGGGATTACAGGTGCCCACCACCAAGCCCAGCTAATTTTTGCATTTTTAGTAGAGACGGGGTTTCACCATATTGGTCAGGCTGGTCTCAAACTCCTGACCTCAGGTGATCCACCCGCCTTAGCTTCCCAAAGTGCTGGGATTACAGGCATGAGCCACCACATCCACTATTTTTTTT